GGCCGCTTCGGCCAGGGACTTAAGCAACTCCTTCACCCCTCACGCTATTCGGCCTGAAGCAGTGGGGGACTGGGGGACTACATCGGCCTCAACAATACAGACAGGAAAAATGCAAACACAAATGTAACCACAAAGCATGGCCACATCGTCCATGTATCACAACGGCGCCAAGGTTTTCGTGACTCCATCTCCGGCCAGGCACTTTGGACAACACGGCGCCTCGTCGGCCAAAGGCACCTAACACCATCAACAACGGCCAACAGGCCACCTAAGGCAAGGACATTCATCGTCCTCCGCCAACAGTTAATCATAATGGGCTCTCCGGCCAAGGACACGAAAGCCAATCAGTGACGGTCAAAAGGAGTGTGCAAGCACCCTCATCGGCCACCCAAAGGAAAGGACGCCATCGTCCTCGAAGCAAGGTTCAACCTCAACGGCCTCATCGGCCCAAAGGTAAATTTCAACCATCAACGTCCAAGAAAGGGAAAACGCGTCTTCAACGGCCACCATCGAAGCAGGACACTCATCATCCCCAAACGAACACACCAAGGAAACAACAGCCTCCCCGTCCAAAGCGAGGAACAGGTAACGGCCAAGCACAGAACAAGATCACCAAAATGGAAACGGCGCCAACGCCGCAACAGCCAACGGCCTGGGAGTGCCCGCATCGGCCAAAAGCACCAAAGCACGGGAATCTACTCTCCTTCACTTCGTCTACGTCTCAGCTTAGAGAGTGGGGGACTCCTGATGGAGTATATGGGTCTGAGCCCCCGGACCCACATACTCAGAAGAACAGAAAGCACAAGACACTGAGTGGTGCCCTCGTCGGCTAAGGGACCCCCGTCGGCCGGGAGAGTACCAACTCAGAATATGGTCCTGAATCCAAGGAACCCGGGTGCCCTCGTCGTCCGCGCCCTCGTCGGCCGTGCCCTCGTCGGCCACGCCCTCGTCGGCCACGAAGACCTCACAGAACCAGATTTTACACTTACTTATTTGAACAGCCCATTAGTGGCTTTGTATTCGGCCCAGTAGCGGTCCAGTTGTAAATGGGCCTCCCAAGCCCAAGGCTTGGGAGCCCAGCCCGTATTTTACCTATAAATACTTCCTCTGGAGGTAGTTATCAGGCTTAAAAAATCACTCTATTGAAGCATATTATTGCACTTCTCTCTCTAGCTCTCACTTCTCTCTAGATATAGTCTATCAGTGACTATTTTAAGGATTAACAGTGCGATTTTCTCTTCCCTTTACTCTATGTGCAATTATAATCCTAGTTGAAGATCTAGGTTACAAGAGATATCAATTGAATTATTCAAACACAAATTAAGTAAAGATTCATGCAATTAAACCATCAAGAAACTAGCCATACATCATGATCAACCCCTTCATCATCCTAAAATCCCTAATTAAACCTAATCACAACTCATAACTGAATCAACAATAGAATTGGGATGAAAAAAATTAATTGTCATTAACTAAAAAGTTGGAACTTACAAATAATCCCAGGGTATTGAAGAACAATGCGAAAAAATAAGTGTAAAGACGTCCCTAGGCCTCTCTCTAAGCTCTCCCCCCCTTCAAAAAGGGGATTTGGGGGCTTTTTATAAAGAAAACAGACGAATTCGGGTTGAATTAGGAGTTTGCGGCGCAGGCACGGTGCACAGGCACAGTGTATCCGTCGTCCCTGCCCCCGGAACATTAGCGCTCTTGGTGTCGGGTACGGCGTGCCCAGCTTGGTAGGCCCGGCGTGCCCGGCTAGCCGTAGCCATCTTCATGTAACGCTCAACATGCATGGCGTGCTCAGCAAGGTATGCTCGTCCACTTCCTTCCTCTCTGGCTCACTGCGAGACATGCATGGCGTGCCTGGCCCATTCTTCATCATTTTTCTCCGTTTCTTGCTCTGAATACTCCGGTTTGCTCCCGTGATCGATCATCAAGGTCTTTTGTCATGAAATCTTCATCGTAAATCTCCCGGTGACCTCCAAAGCTCTCGATTCATCTTCAAATGCGTCTCAACTTGTCTCAGTTGCTTCTCAAGCGCCGGTGTCGGGCTCAAATTCCCTGATTTTTACTTCAAAAATACCAAACTCGAACTAACACCCGGTAAAATATGACTTGAGTTAAAATTGAGACTTATGACACCTTAAAGCCAGAAAAACCATCAAAAGCTGATCTCAACATGCATCAAATATGTGTCGAAATATGGACTTTTCATGTTGTCTTTTCGAAAATTCAAATAAATGGAATCGAGTTGGAGAAGTTGCATTTACCAACAAAGGAGTAAATAATTGGAAAAAAGCACTAGACATATTCAATATTCATATTGGTGTAGTGGGTAGTGCTCACAATGATGCTAGAATGCAACTTGAAGCTTCTCGAAATCAAAGATAAAGTGTCTCACATTTGATAAATGCACATGGTCGGGAATTAGAAGTGGCGTATCGCATTCGTGTAACCCCAATTTTGGCTGATACGATTTTTGTTGAAGCAAGGTCTAGCATTTTGTGTTCATGATGAGTCATCTAGTTCTTTAAATAAAGGTAAATTCCTTGAATTACTAGAATGATATAGTCAAAGAAATGAAGAGGTTGCTAAAACATTGAATGAAAATGCTCCCTGAAATAATCAAATGACATCTCTAAAAATTCAAAACGAATTAACTAGTGCTTGTGCTTTTGAGGTTACACAACTCAAATGAGAGTTGTTTTGAAATATGTGGATAAACGTGAATATATAATTGAAAGTTTCATTGGCATTGTGGATGTGAGTGATACTTCTGCTATTTCGTTGAAAAGTGCTATCGATGAGGTTTTTTCAAAGCATAAATTGTTTTTATCAAAACTGAGAAGTCAAGGATATGATGATGCTTCAAATATACAAGGTGAGTACAATGGATTAAATGCTCTCATATTGAAGGAAAATCCATTAGCAAGGTATGTGCATTGCTTTTCTCACCAACTTCAACTAGTTGTTGTTGCTGTTGCTAAGTGTAATCGAATTGTGTGTGATTATTTTCAATATGTCATTATGTTGTGAATGTCACGGGTGCTTCTTGTAAAAGAAAAGATAGACTTAGACAAATAGAGCATTCCAGACTAGTTGAGAGTTTGGAGAATGCAGAGATAATAAGCGGAAAAGGGAAAATCAAGAAGTAAGTTTGAGAAGACCGGGGATACTCGTTGGAGGTAATATTACATAACTATTGTGCATTTGATATCCATGTGAACATCGTTTTTAAAAGCTCTTGAAAATGTGCATGATGATGGAGCTACTGAGAAGCGGGGTATGGCTTCAAGTTTAATCAACAAGATGGAGAATTATGAGTTTGTCTTCATTATGCATTTAATGACGTATTTGTTTGGAATTACTAATTAATGAGTGGTCTCTTGCCTTGCAAGAAAAAGATCAAAATATTATTTTTGCAATCAACTTGATTAGGATGATGAAAGTTAGATTGCAAGAATTCCGAGATAATGGGTGAGAGAATCATTTACAAGAAACAAGTTCATTTTGTGAAAGAAACCCAACATCCCGGTCTTAAAGATGGAAGAAGTACTAGTTCGCGGGCGTAGTAGACGAAGTGGAAACACAATCACAAATTTAGTTCACTTCCGCGGTGGAATCTTTTGTGAGGTATGTGAGTAAGTCTTTTGATTTTTATTATTATTAGTATTGTATTCAATTATTATGATTATATTATTTTGTACTATATATTAGGTTGTTGACAAGATTATTGTGGAGACGAATAATCAGAGAGTTCCATGAGCTAAGGAGCTTAGAGTTCCTCGGTGAATCTTAGGTCTAAGCTATAGTTTTAAAAGCCTATCTGAACTCGTCAGAATCTCCCCGCTATCCCTCTCTGGTCCTATGTGTCCTCTCCGCAGTCCTATCTATAGTTGCTAATGAAGATGATTTAGCTAAGGCTAGGAAGCTTGACTCACTCGACCAAAGGAAGAGGAAGCGATATTTCAAAAGCAAGTACTGAGTTACTCGCATGTATTTCATGTTTTGCTCCCAAAAAATTTTTCTCCCAATTTGACATTGATAAACTAATTCATATGGCTGAAATGTATGCGGAAGACTTTTCTTCTACTGATCGTTTTATGCTTAAGCAACAACTTGAGACATACATTCATGTCGTACAGAGTCAAATTCAATTTCGTGCAATTGAAGATTTGGGAAGTCTTGCTGAACAAATGGTTGAAAGTGGCACGAACCTTGTGTTTTCTTTGGTATATCATCTTATTGAGTTACGTTGGAGTTAGTTTTATCAGTTGCAACAGCTTCAGTTGAAAGAGTCTTTTCTGGCATGAAACTCATCAAGACTGATTTACGGGGTAGAATGGGAGATAAATGGACGAATGATAGCTTGGTGATATACATGGAGAAGGAAAATTTTCCCAAAATTCATGAAAATGAAGCAATTTTGCAATGTTTTCAACATATGCAGACACGCCGCACACAATTGTCTCCATTCACTTCTTCTTTTGACATTTAATTGTATCGTAATGTACTCTTGACTCTTCTCACGAATTTTGTATTTTGTAAGCTGTAATAACAATTTATATTTTTGCATTTTATAATACTTTTAGCCACTGTACCCCTCTATTTTCGTTCTGGTTCCGTCACTGACTAGAATCTTATTGAGATTTCCACATTGTGATGGTGACGTAATTTATTTTAGAAATAATTAAATATATATATGATTAAAATAATTATATATAATGAAACATAATTTCCTAAGTGTACTGATTATAGTAATAATGTATTCATAGTAAATTATGTTTAAGTTTTCACTTCATTGATTAAGATTGTACTATAGTAACTATTGATCATATTTTTGTAATTAAGTTTCATTTGAGTAATATTTAAAAAAAACTACTAGTATATTTTAATATGTTTGTTTGCACTACAAATAAAAACGAGATTTTGTAATTAAACTTGGGTATATATGATAAAACAGAAATAAAACTATGAATCATATATGACTAAAATAATGATGATGGTGGACAAAATGTTAAATCCTTCATGTACCCAATAACTATTATATTACTCTCTAATAAATTTTAGTGATTATGATTATAGTCAGTTTCGTATTACAACCGAGCAGGCGAGCAGCACAGTGAAAAAACTGAGCATGATTTCACTATCAACTCTAATTACATATCCGTCCATAAATAATTCAATCTATGTAACAGTAGAAAAAACCTAAACAGAATTCTTATTTGATGATCCAAATCCGATCCGTGTACTCATGATCCGTAAATTATTAATCCGTAAAATAATTTAATAAATCTGAATAAATAATGTACATAGATCCGAATGTGAAATGAAAAATATATGTATATACAAAAATAAAGCACCAGCTTCCAAATTGATGGCCCGTAGTCGAAACCCAAACCAAGTAAGCCTTCCTAGCTGCGGACGAAACTAAGCTAGCTGCGCGCCGGTCGCCGGCAGACCTGATCAAGGCCCCGCCGGAGCTAGGCCTAGTTGTAGATCCAACCCGAACCCGTCGTCAAATTTGGCTCCACCGCCGTCTCTCGAAAACCTACTCAACGACGGCCCATCAATCCTATTGGTCTGATGAGGGTGCCCGACACTCGTGACGCTCGACTCCGCCAAGCCGCCGGAGGAATACGACAAGTTAGCCGCACCCGCCCTACTGCTCCCCGCCATCGCCGCCGAAGACGCGGGGATCACACACGACCCGTGCGACACGTGGAAGGGAGGCGGAGCGCGTGCGACGTACATCCACGTGGGAGGCGATGAAGCCGGGACGATGACGGATCCGGGCGGAGCCAGGAGGTGCGGCGGCGGGGAGAAGGCGGCGGACATCATCGGATTCCGAATGTAGGAGAGAGTGGCGGCGTTCCGGCTGGCCTGCATCTGGGCGCGTTTCAGCTGCTGCCTCTCTTTCTTGTGAGCGTTCTGGTGCCCACCGAGGGCCTGAGAGTTCGCGAATTCCCGGCAGCAATACTGGCACTCGTATTTCCGGCCGTCGGAAGACGGAAAGCCGCCAGTTTCCGGGGACCCGGATTCCGTTTTAGTCGACGACGACTCCGCGTCTTCGTAATCTTCTGTCACGTTGAACCCGAACAGCTTTAGCCGCCCATTATTATTTTGGGCGGCCGCGGCCTTGGTAAAAGCTTTAGAGTACTGATGATCTAGTTCTGCCATCTGCTATTTATAATTATAGGATGATTATAGATATAAATATGGCATATATTTATGTAACCTGATGAAGGTGTAAGTATTAATATGGTTCTTCTATATTTGTATGTAGTTGGAGTAGGTGGATTGCAAGGGAGACAGAAATGATGAGACAGAAATGTAATATGGAGAAGCAAGAAAGAAAGGGTAATGAAATTCAACTTGGTGGTTGCATGTGTGGGGCTATATATATACATGTTTTAAGTGGTTTGGAATCTAGCTGTATCTAATAGGGAAAAGAAAAAATGGACAATAGGTTGAATTATATAAATATATATCTGAAATATATTTTATTAATAAAAAGAAGAAAATTATTATATGAGAAATAACCAAAGTGATTATTTAAAGTAAATTCAGAAATAAAAGTAATTTCAATCACACTTATTTTGATTACTCTGTACTACACAAAATATACACTTATTTTGTATAGCCTGCGAAATAAAAAATCACATATTTGACTAAAATTGACTGAAAAAGCCGATTAAGTGATTAACTGAAATATACTCCGTAGAAGTTATTAAACGAGTTCTTAATTTTTTAGTATTTTCGAATGTACTTAACCACCTTATCTATTAGTTTTTATTAATTGTTTAATTTTTTATTTATATTCAAAATTATGTAATAATCAATACGAATAATATTGAAGTTAATGTTCATAGTAATCGTCTAAATTCTTGAAGAATAACTATTTTAACTATTAAGGCTCTTTAATGAGTAAAAAGTCAAATTTAAGATGGATGTTGATGGAAGTAGTAAGTACTTCTATGCTATGACAAAGAAGTGGAAAGAATGGACCCCTTAAAACCTCTAACTAGGAAGTTTCCTGCGAACATGGGATTGCGATTTTTGAGAGAAAAAGATAGGGTGACAAACTCCGATCCCTATTTAAAAAATGGGATATTGTACATATCATTCATTTGATTGGTCCACAACATTATATCATTTTTAAATAATTCAACTATAACTTTCTCATTTGTGCATGTGGACAAAAGTATAATACCTTGAGAATATCATAAAATCTACCAAAAGTTATAGATGTACTCCGAAACATTTATTATGGATGTTGATTTCTATTTTTATACCTACACTAAACATTTCACAAATATCTTTAATTCATAAACAATTTTTAAAAGGAAAAAGGTGCAAATAGGTCCATGTACTAATCAAAAAAGGTCGAATAAGCCCTTATTTAGGAGGCTCTGTACGGTCATCGCCATTTGAGGTGGTTCTCAGTGGAATTTTTTTATGAAATTGTTTTAGCATCTTATTCATCAAGTCTAGTTTACTCATACCAAATTTCAGATAAAAATTCATTTGGTACGGCATTCAAATGAATTCTTGAAAATAACTGCGCAGTTAGAATCACAGTTATCTTCAAGAATTCATTTGAATGCCTTCCCGATTTAAATTTTAGCTGAAATTTGGTATGAGTAAACTAGACTTGATGAATAATATGCTAAAAATATTTCATCAAAAAATTCCACCAGGAACCACTCCAAATGACGACGGCCGGACAGAGCCTCCTAAATAAGAACTTATTTGACCTTTTTTGGTTAGTACATGAGCCTATTTGCATCTTTTTCCTTTTTAAAAAAAAAAACTATACGGAGTACTCCATAAAGTTTTAAGGAGAAAATATAATAGAATACTACTCCATATAAGTTTGCTTATGATTTAAGTTATAGGATATCCCATTTCATTAAACTAGATCATATAATTTTATAAACATCAAACAATATCCACAATAATTCTATAAACACCAATTCGACAGTTCTAAGATATTGTTCACATTGAAATAATGTGTCAATTATATTGTTTTTAATTGGATTATATTCTGTATCAAACCAATTAAATCAAACTAGAATTCCACAATTATAAATTTAATATAGTACATCCATCTGTCAGATCAATTAAGACCAGACTAGATTTAAATAGACCAGATTAGAAAATTTAAATCTAATTGAGATGTTTTAAATCAAAAGAACTTCTTTAACTTACTCTGTATTTAAGATGTTTTACATTGTAAACTTGTATTAATTCGACATTGGGCATAATAATCATTGTAATTAGATCACTCATTCACTTGAAATGCAAGTTCAGACATATTTTGCAAAGTTATTCGTTCTCGATCATTTCATTCATCGGGATTTTCATATGGATTCCTTCCACGAATATATGCACTCACAAACCCAACTCTATTTTTAGTAATTTTTTTGCTCAATATCCCTAATTTCTTTGAGTTTTTCCTTTTCAATATTCTTACTCTAATTTCTCTACTCTCACCAAATTATAAATACCTTCTAAAAACATCAAAAAGGTACCATAGAGAAAACTACCTTCAATAGAAAATAGAATATAAGGAGGAGACCCGCACGGCGGTTGGTCGAGTGGTGGAAAAATTGGATCAAGTGACCAAGGTTCGAAATTCGCAGCGGCCGTGTGGAGGTTATAGAACATGAAATAAGACTGGATCTCTGATACGCATGTGTATAATAAGGCCTACCGCCGCTTTGCTGACTGAGTCACCGTGATTAACCTCCTCATCATCCTGTCGGGTCGGGTGGGGGCTCCTGAGCAGGGATGGATTTAAGAGGGGGCACGGGGGGGCGACCGCCCCCCTTGGACTTTCAAATTTTTCTACAATATATTTAATATTTTCATAAAATTTTTATACTTTAATTAGATATATATGTGTTCGTCCCCCTTAACTTTTAGTTTTCAAAATTAATATATAGCCTTACATTATGAAATACTTAATTGGAGATTTAAAAGATGAAACATCTAAAATAATTTACATAACTTAAGCAAATAAACAATAGAACAACTTATTGTTCAAGACTTAGGATACCTATTATATAAAAATTCATAGTTTTGAAATGTTTAATTATCTTTAATTTATTAGATAATTATTACTCGATTTGTAAAATATCAAACAATATTATATACGAGACACACTAGTTAAACAGTTTTTCGATCATGTGAAATGAATTTAAAATTACACAATTCTTTTACTTCTTACTCTTTAAAAATAATTTATTGCATAGGTAATAAATTTTAACTTATTTTACCACAGCAAAACAACATTCAAGCCTTAATGCCAAAAGAACTTGGGGTCGGCTAACATGAATCGATCTATGATATCGATGCTAAACAGAGAAGATAGACAAGAAAGGGAAGAAAAAGAAGTAAGATTAAACGAATAAAATAAAGATAAATAAATATAAGATAACAATAACACAAGAATATAAGAAAGATAAAAGATAAAAGATAAAAAATAAAAGAGCATAAAAAGCTAGAGGATAAAAAATAACATAAGAATATAAAAAGATAAAGAAGATAAACGATAAAAGAAAAAAGAGAAGAAAGATAGAGAAGACATCAATCTAAGAATCAACGATATAATATTATTCTAAAAATAATAATCTCATACTACGTACATACTATACTTTTGTAATATTAGCAAAACTTGCAATTCAAAATTTGCAATTCAATAATATTATTCTAAAAATATCATTTGTTATTTTCAAATAATTTTCGTTTGATTTGCTATTTCTTACGCTTTAATTTATCAATACTTTTTTCTAAAGCACCTACAATTATAAAATCAAAGTTATTTGTTCATTGTCTAAACTTAGAATGTAATATACTCCCTCCGTCCCGTAAACAACTTCAAACTTCGTTTTCACACATATTAAGGAAATAAACATACTGGGTGATAAATTTTACTGTATGGACACTGTTTCGACACTGTTTGGCACTGTTTGGTACTGTTTGGCACTTTTTGAATGTAGAGAATTTGCCAAATAAGGAACTGGAAAGAAGTGTGAAGTTAATTTCGGGACTGTCCGAAAAGGAAAGTGAGAAGTTGTTTATGAGATGGAGGGAGTATTTAAATATCATCATGTATGTACTTATGAATTCTTTTTTAATAAAAATTACCGCAAAGCCTTTCTAAACTAGCGGGAAAAAAAAAATCGCCCCACTGCACTAGCGAAAGAAAAAAAATCGCCCGACTACACTAGTGAAAAAAATTTCACCCACTACACTAGAAAAAAAATTCGCCCCCCTTGACTCGAAATCCTAGACCCGTCCCTGCTTCTAAGCGGGAAATTCCAGCTTTTGGACCTAGAATAAAAGGAGGGAAAAAATTATAAAATTGCACGTGGTGGCAAGTCGCTTTAGTTCGGATCAAATTATGAAAAAATGGGCCATAAGACTATTTTTACCCTTTTCACACGCCCCTTTTAAACCAATTCGGTAAATTGAATCCAAAAAATACTGACAAATGGTGTGCTTTTGCACCGAAATTGATGGTTTTTAAACTAGGATATAAATCAATCCACTTTAACGAAAAATTATTAGTGCAAATTGGCTACTTTTCTACATAAGTTATGGTTTCAAATAATTTATTTAAATCTGATTTGATCATGAGAATAAAAAAGTCTTAACATATTGGTTCTGAGTTTTGTCAAAGTCCACTCGCATATTTAGTTACATTGATGTTGAGTGAGAATGTTGAGTTAAAGTCTAGATTGGTGCAATCTTTAATTCAGAGTTAATTACTAAATAACTTTTTATATTTCGGATGTCTTTGTTTAATTCTAATTTAATTCAATTTACTCTAAATAAAATGATAATGCAATTAATGCATTCACATGAAATACTCTATGAAGAATATTTCATCAGCTAGATGGATGGAACTTCTAAAGTTTATCTTTACCCCTTTAGATACTCAATCGATCATAACAAAACATCCATCAAATGAGATCTCGCAAGCAGTTTAGAAACAAAAAGTCGGGAAAACAGGATGATCACACTACGGCGGAGGTCGTTGACAATCAACCAAAGATGCTACAACTTTGTACAAATAAAAATGACAATTTGCTGATTAGAGTCAACAAGAAATAAACACTTTGTCTCCAACGCCATATCTCCAATATTACATATGGTAATAGATATCAGTTAACTTTATGATCACTCAAACATCGTAAACTGCGTGACAACTTTTAAATGTGACACTAACAATATTATTTACTGTTCTTCAAATTTCTCGAAGACGACACATTCCAATTTTGTGGACCAGTTCTTCAAATTTCTTCGGTGCCAATGACTTTGTGAATAAATCAGCATGGTTGTCACAAGACTTG